ATTCTGTTGTTCTATCTATCTATCTATCTATCTATCTATCTATCTATCTATCTATCTATCATCTATCTATCATTCTGTGTATCATGCTGTTGTTCTATCTATCTATCTATTTATCTATCTATCATCTATCTATCGTTCTGTGTATCATGCTGTTGTTCTATCTATCTATCTATCTATCTATCTATTTATCTATCTATCATCTATCTATCGTTCTGTGTATCATGCTGTTGTTCTATCTATCTATCTATCTATCTATCTATCGTTCTGTGTATCATGCTGTTGTTCTATCTATCTATCTATCTATCTATCTATCGTTCTGTGTATCATTCTGTTGTTCTATCTATATCTATCTATCTATCTATCTATCTATCTATCTATCTATCTATCTGTCTGTCTGTCTGTCTGTCTGTCTGTACTCATTTTATCTTAGAAACCTCCAAACTTCAAAGCTTTTTAAACATTTTACAAACCCTTCAGAGACTGAAGTATAGTGTGGCAGACGAGTCACAGACAGGGCATTTGAAGAGCAGGGGGTTGGATGAGACACTGTGTTGGGTTTGTCCTAGACAGTGTGTTTTGGTACTCAACACACAGGTGCGTCTCTGCGCTACGTGACTGACTTTAATTGCACTGCTGGAGTCGCTCAACACTCACTGGCAATACAGCTTGATTAAACACACGCTCAGCAGGTGAGTGAATCTCTCCACTGTCTGGCCTCATTTTTACAAAGTCAACTGCAAAGTCGTGTTTTAATTAGGGCTGTCAATCAATTCAAATTTTAATCAAATTAATTACATGCTATTCCACACATATCAATATTTGCGGAGAAAAGCTCCCAAAACGAAGATGACATTTTTGTGACAGATGAGTAAATCAATGAATAGACACTGCAAGAAATGGCTTAAATGGCTTGTGGTCCACCACAATTCATTTAGCAAGTTTATCTATCTGTCCAGGTTAGACTTGACAATGTTTTTGATTGTTTGTGTGTATACATATGCAGATGAGCATCTTTGGCTGTTGCAGCATGACTTTCACGAGACACCATTGGACCACAAAAGAAGACCTTTCATGTGAGTACATTCATGACTTTCATTATTGTTATGCCCTTCACATGTAGAAATCAGATCATCTTCACTTCAACATTTAACCATCTTGCCACAAGTCTAGACAAATGTTGGACTGATCAAATCAGCCGGTATATATCGATTAAACAGATACATTTACTCATTATGAGAGGTTTTGTAACCTTAATTATTCTAATAATAATAATAAACAACTAAATCATTCCTATCTGGCCTAGAGGAATAATACAAAAATCTTGGGGGTTACAACATCCAAATAAGCTCACCTCCTGGTAAAGGTCACTGAGGTCATGGTAGTGGGCATGACGGGCACATCCTGGATACTGATTGGAGCAGCAGGAGTCAGGTGGCCACTCCATCTCTGTCGTTTCCAGCCAGTCAGTGAAGTAGATCACTCCACAACACTTCAACTGTAAGGCAGGTATGAAAATTCAGCCTGGTCTCATTGGTTATATGTAGGCATTAATACGTAACATTTACAAGCACAAAACGTACATTTTTGTACATTTTTATTGATGCTGAAACGTATAATTTAGACCTATTTCAATATTTAAAACGTACAAATCGCTATGTATTTTTAGCTAAAAAAAAACTTAAAATATTTACGTATCTTATATAATTAAGATATTCATATCATTTTATCAATAAGCAATTTAGATTTTTAGACCCCTTAACCTACCCATTTTATAGCGAATATGCATTTTTATCATTTTACCAATAAGTTATTTAGATTTTTAGAACCCCTAACCTACCCCCAAACCTAAACCTAGCCATTTTATAGAGATAGAACCACATTTTACATAAAATACATATGAATTACCATGAGATCACATTGATCACAAGAAAATTAGTAATTGACAGTGATGTTTTCATAATATTTGCATTCTGAATTGCAATTGGTTCAAAATCCTACTTCACATAACTGTATATTAACATTAACATTTATACATTATATATTCTTGACTGCATGAATGTTATACAGTAGAACATGCATATATTACATTTGATTGATCTTACTATATAAAAAACAGATTTTGTAAATATTATTTTTTAAATATTAAGTTGACTTTTTCCCTAAAATACTGTTAGATGTAGCTATTTTTATTATAATTCTAAAATATTGTAAATATAACATATGTGTATTAATTTTATTATTATAATAATAATAAACAACTAAATCATTCCTATCTGGCCTAGAGGAATAATACAAAAATCTTGGGGGTTACAACATCCAAATAAGCTCACCTCCTGGTAAAGGTCACTGAGGTCATGGTAGTGGGCATGACGGGCACATCCTGGATACTGATTGGAGCAGCAGGAGTCAGGTGGCCACTCCATCTCTGTCGTTTCCAGCCAGTCAGTGAAGTAGATCACTCCACAACACTTCAACTGTAAGGCAGGTATGAAAATTCAGCCTGGTCTCATTGGTTATATGTAGGCATTAATACGTAACATTTACAAGCACAAAACGTACATTTTTGTACATTTTTATTGATGCTGAAACGTATAATTTAGACCTATTTCAATATTTAAAACGTACAAATCGCTATGTATTTTTAGCTAAAAAAAAACTTAAAATATTTACGTATCTTATATAATTAAGATATTCATATCATTTTATCAATAAGCAATTTAGATTTTTAGACCCCTTAACCTACCCATTTTATAGCGAATATGCATTTTTATCATTTTACCAATAAGTTATTTAGATTTTTAGAACCCCTAACCTACCCCCAAACCTAAACCTAGCCATTTTATAGAGATAGAACCACATTTTACATAAAATACATATGAATTACCATGAGATCACATTGATCACAAGAAAATTAGTAATTGACAGTGATGTTTTCATAATATTTGCATTCTGAATTGCAATTGGTTCAAAATCCTACTTCACATAACTGTATATTAACATTAACATTTATACATTAAGCAAACACTTTTATCTGCAGCAATTAACAAACAAAAGCAATTTGTCAAAGAACCAACAATATTCATAATATACAATGGCGGGTTTATTAGACAACTAGACCAAGAAGAAAGCTATAGAAGAAATGCAAAAAAGAAAAGGATTAGTCTTTTTCAAGATCAGATGTTTCACACTGACTAAATGGCTTTGTTAAGCATTTTCACTTTCAGTGACAACACTAGAATTATTTAACACCATCGAATGTTGCATTGAGGCTGGTTAGGTGTTAGACGAGCTGCTATCCTGCTGATGATTTTGACCTCTCACCTCTGTTTGTATAGCGTTCCAGGCATGTGTGAGCCACTGGTAGCGCTGCAGGCCGAAATGAGGCATACGTGACTTCAGACTTATCATATCAGACCTCTGTACCATAGGCTGAAGAGAGAAAGAAAGGAATCATTTCACAATTTTAAAAGCCTTGTAACTGTCCCTTGTGATTTTGTAATCACATAAAATCAATTCCCCACACGCTCAGTAATTATGTTTTCTAAATAACAAAAACAATGCGATTTCCAGGCAGTTTAAAGGACCATCCACACGCACACACTTCCAATTTTAGGCTCTCTTATGACCAGTTTATTGGCTAGTTATGAAATGCCCTAATCACAAGTGTGTGTGAAAGTGTTGTTTATATACTAGGTGACATTTTACAGTTCAGTCCCCATGAGACACTTCTGTTTTCACACCTCGGAAACCATCGTGAGGGGCATATGATAAGTACCCATGATGCCCAGTGCTAGATGTTTCATCTCAGCAGAACTGGCTACAGCTTGTCAGTTTAAAGTCAACATGAAATTACAATCGACTAATATATTTTATTAATACATATTTCTGGCCTTATTGTGAGTAATTCATGACTGCATGTTATTCTAAAGAAAAATGAAACCATTAAACCATAATAACATGCTAAACCTCCAAAATTACTTTCCTTTTTGGCTAATGTAATCTAGGCCAGTTTTTCACAGACTCTCAAATATGGCGAATTCCTTTTTTTCATATATAAACTGTAAAGAAATAAAAATATATAATGAATAATAATAAATTATATATATA